TCTTTCCCTGTTGTTTTACGTCCCTTTTTGTCTGTTAAAAGTTAGTTGGGGAAGAACAATGGCACAATTGCTGCTCTGCTTATTTTATGACTGGTTTTCATTTTGACTAGATTCTACTTTATAAGATGCTTGTTCTTTAAATCAAAGACAAGTTCATCAAATTCTTTGACAATCTTTCCATAAACTGAATAGTGATTTACTTTAACAACATAAGATTTTTTTTAGAAAAAAAGTTTTATTTTCCCAAGTTTTACATACTACAAAACTGATACAGCTAATCCAATGAATATGACCCCACAATGGAACATCATTTTCTCATTTCACTATTGTAACATGTGTGAGATCTGAGGGAGATCTAAGGGATGAATCCAGGGAGAAGAGAACAGTCATGTGGAGGGCAATAAGCCAAGTGTGCAACAAGAAGTAAAGGCTGACTTATTAAAGACTTGAAATAAAAGGGCACCTACGTAATTTAAGGAAGATGAAAGCAACCCTCCAAATTTCCTAATTTAGCCCTCTGCCGAAAGAGAAGACTTGATTTTGTAGGTCAAAAGAATAAAAGTTCACAGGTAAGCTTTGACGCAAACATTCAAAGGAAAACATAATCTAAATTCACAATGGGAGCTCCTTTTTATTTCCGGACTACGGAAATTGCCTTTAGGTACCCACAATGATTTGGCTCCCTATAAAATGACCGAAACGCCCCTTTAATAAGCTTTCCTTTTCTAATAACAGAATGACAAACATGCCCCTAAAATAAAAAGAAAATTTCTGTCGGTAGGCCGACAACTTCTGGGGCATGATCCCTGGGACCTCACCTATATCCTCCTTTTTATTCTTTTCATTATCATTTATGTTAAACAAGAACAAATTGGTTGTTACTAAGGCCATGAAGTATGACCTATAAATCAAAGTAGAAAATGACAAGACCGTCCCACGGACCGACAGTAACTGAAATTTATACTAACTTCTAGTGATTTTATTCATTGAATTCGTGCCATGCACCACATTCCAACAAAATTGTGTAAAGAAAATTGGAATCTTAGACAAGCAAATGAATATAATCAGAGTGAAAGCTAAGTTTAAATACTGAAATTTGGATACCAAAGGCGTTCTTGGTGTAAAGCAGTACACGAGACTTCCCACGGGGTACAATTGTTGTACGGGAATGTAAAAAAGTAGCGGACCATAGTCGATCATAGTCCAAAAGTGGAGTCCTTTGTTTGTTGAAAATATGGTTCCAAGTTGGATAAATTATTTAATAGAGGGCACTATTTGCATTATTACAATAGGAAGATAAGCATTTCCTTTGCGTACAAAATTTTCAAGCTCTTTCATTTTTATGTACTAAAAGGCATTCATTGGCTTGTTCCACCATGCTCTCTAACCAACACTCTTAAAGCATATACCAACCTATTCTCTTTGAGAAGCTACATAGGATCAAATTAAATTATAGACATGAACATGAATGATATACTTACTAACCTTTACCTTGTTGTTTTGGACTTGGTCTGTTATCTAGATTGTTTTTGAAGTAGCTTGCTTGAAAGCAACAGTGGGAGCTATTCTGCAACTCCGCCTCTGATGCTCCAGCACCAGTTCCCCAGCAAACCAGTCGAGCTTCTCGAAATTGCTCTGTTCGCCAATCTTCTTACCACCAAAAAGAACCGATTCAACATTCTTCTGTTTGAGCATCTCCTCTGCTAGTCCAAGCAGCATATTTACATTGCCGGGACTTGAGTCTGTATCTACATTTGGTCCACACCGTCCCAAGCTAGATCCGTTAGCCTATAACATAACACAATTTGTTTGCAAAATGAGCTCCGGTAAACACAAACCAGCCAACTACTAATCACATTAGAATAGTATACTTACATTGTGTAGTAAAAAAAGAAAAACCGAAATAGCTTGTGTTAAGCCATTACGCAAGGATAGACCAAAGGAAATTAAAAGAGAAAAGGACAGAACCTGGTGGACTAAGTCATTGTGTTAAATAAGCTCATAAATTCATGAACCCTTTTTAGTCCTAAAAAAGTAAAAAGATCATTTTCCAACTAAGAAGATAATTAAAGATTGTATGACAGCTGAGGATAAACTCTTAAGAATATATTCAAGTAGAGAATGTAACTCCTAAGAATAGATCCAAGTAGAGTGTCAGTGTATTTAAAGAACACAGTTTCTTTAGTCAACCTAGAATTAATGGACCCTGGCAACAAGGTCCACGAAAATCTTATCAATGGTATAAATATCCATAAAAGAGAACTAATAATACAAATTATAAGCAGCGAGCACCAAGAGTAGGAACAGAGTTAATGTACAAAGAAAGAACACCGCCATTCATTCCTATTTCCTACTTACAATTTGGTTGAATGAATTTGCATGATTGGTATTTTTAGCAAGATGTCCCATACTAAAGTAAAAGGGCATTGTGAAACGTACACGCACAACTTGTCAGTTCTACTACAGCCGAGTCATCGCAATTAGTGACTTAAAGTGAATTTATCACATGGCAGCTAACAAGGTGTAAGTAGTATTTAGTCGGCAAAGAAAGATAGCTTTTCTGCCTAATAGATGGCAAGAACCGCACGCTATGTATTATACTAGAATGGGAAATGAAAATCTGAGTCTTAAGTTCTGGCATATCAGCAATGCCTAAAGTATACCATAACTATATGCAGTCTTGATCATAATGACTAACCTAACTATGAAAAGCGTCTTCCAAACTTCCAGAGTAATCCCCACCAAATCATAAACATTTAGCAAAAGATGACCACCTCTAGCAAATATATACTCTAGGAATCTCAGCTATTATTTTCATCCAAAACATTACTGCATAACCCTTTTTGCTCTGCCGGTTGAGATTGAATGATTGATGATTAAAAACAAAGATTTATGAAAGATAATGGTGATTACCAAACAGCTAAGAAATATAGCAACATTAGGAAACTTCTTAAAAATTCGGGGAAGTAGATTTCAGCTTTAAGTTTGGATTTTCTACTGTTGGGAAATAAATGAGGGAAACAAAACAGAAAAAAGCCAAAACAAGAAAGGGAAGTAGGTGGGAAATTGCAAGAATCCACTGCCCACCAAATTTGCAAAACAGAGGAAAGAAAGAATCAATCATACTAAGAAGGGGAAACTGACTTTCAATTAATGGATACTTTGTCAAACAGGTTATGCTTAGTTGGTCCAGAAGCAGTAAATTTCTCAAACGGTTATATCTTTTCTGGAACCAACCAAAATCCCCCTTCATGGTCCCAAAGAAAATTAAGATTTAATAAAAAAAATTTCTAAACTCATCCATCACGTGCAATCCAAGAGGACGCCCAAAAAAAAAAAAAAAGAACGAGACTCCCCCAGAAACACCACACAGACACAGGTCCCCATTGGTCACAAACTGCAGAACACCACAGAGGTTCCAATGCCAAAACAAAGGGTGGTTTTTTACTTTTTTTTTTATTTTTCATTTTTCCCTTGCTGCTATACCAGTCTCTCCTTCCCCACACCCCAAACATTTAATTGCATAAACCCAAAATCCGGCGCACGTTAGCCATCCCAATATGGGTGTACCTTTTTATCTATATATTGATGAATGTAATGCATGAATATCTATCTATAAACATGCCCCAAGCAATCGACAAAATACAAATGGTTGACCATCAACCAGCCTGGCCTACTGTGTCTCATGCACCAGAAACAGCAACAACAAAAACAAACCAAAGATAGAAATTTAAAAGGAAAAAATAAAATAAAATTTAGTTTAAAAAAAAAAAAACAAAAGAGAAACTTCACTTTTGAGTTATACTCAAATTACCCGCGAATTTAACCTCAACTACGAATCATCGCACTTTTGCATAATGAATTTTATCTGAATAATTATTAACCAAAAGTACAAAAACCTTGGATCATCTTCCAAGTTTTAAGTATGCAGAAGTCACAATACAGATTTTTTACAAAATTTGGTCATATTTCATCATAAATTCAGTCTAATAAATAATAATAATAAATAATAATAATAATAATAATAATAATAATACCTGAACCCGGACGTAATTAGTGCTCCGGGAGTGGCCAAAGGCCATGGACACGGCCTGGTCCACGAAATCCGCGGAGGCGTCGGTGGTGATGCGAGCAGTGGGGCGGGCCCACTCCTTGGCCTTCCATTTTCTGACCTGCTCCCCCTCGTAGCTGACTTCCAGCAGCTGCCCCGTCCCTATGGAAAGTACCAAGAGGTCCTCCACCCCTCGCACGAACGGGAACTCCTGCTTGTTGTGCAGCACGTGCGTGATCGCCGCCGCCGTCGGATTGCTCATCGCAAGCCCCCCGTCCACCGCCAGGCACCGCGTCTGCCCGTCCACCGACCTCATCTGAACCGGCTCGAACGAACCCGGTTCGGCCGACGTCGCCCGGCACACCTCCCAAAGCTCGAAGTCGAAGCTGTCCGTCTCCAGCGCGTCGGCTCGCGAAAACAAAAACGGCGCCGTACTGGAGAGATCGTAGCAAGGGATTAGGACCGGCTTAAGAGTGTCCTTCAGGGTTAGGCTCCGCCCTTTCTCGACGAAAACCTCTTTCATCGACTTCTCCAGACCGGCCGTCGCCGAACCGGAGCTTCCGCCGCTGGCTCGGAAAATTCGCCGGAGAAATCCGCCGGAGTTTGGTGTGCTGCGGTAGAATCGCCGTCCGTTGTCAGTGAGGAACCTCCACGTATCGTCCGCCTTCGAAATCGGACGGCTCTGGTCTCTGGTGGCGAAGAGCATCGCCGTGAAGATTCCTCCGACGCCGGCGCCGGCAGCGACGTCGAAGTAGTCGGCTATTCTGGCGTCCGGATTCCCCGATTTCGCCTTCAGTGACTGCTCGAGATAAGCCAAGGCCTTGCCGGAAAGGATCCCCCGCATGCCTCCGCCGTCGATGCTGAGTATGCAGATTTTGCCTCTCTGGTTCTTGATCGCCGAGACGCCATTGGTTTCACCGCTGACGAGGCTCTGCGGCGGAGCTTCGCCGGCCGTCGGAGCAGGAGCGATCTGCTTGGGAACCCAAAGTTTCTGATCGTCGTAGCCGAACAGGAACTTGCTCTCTAAAATCGAGAATATCTCGTAGCTGAGCTTATCAGTATCGATGCTCGGCTCGTGCATTTCCGGTTGATTATTGATATTAATATTCTCATTCATCATCGCAGAATTTTCCGAGAATCCAAACGGAAAAATTTCCTGTCGAAAACGATGAAGGAAAAAAATAACAATAAAAAATAGGAAACGTTTTTGTTGCTCTAAGCTTGTTGAAGGCCCACACTTGCGACAAACTCTGAAACCAATCGTTTTCTCCGTACTAATGAGTTATAATCCTCAACCATACGTACTAATACCTCTCTTTTCTTCTCCAAAACCTTGCTAAGCAATCAGATTATGAAGAAAAAGAGGAAGGGTTTTAGTTTACCTTGTATGTCACGCCCATCAATTTCATGCCAAAACTTGGCTCCAAATCGAAGCTTCCCATAAAACATATATTTTCCTTTTCCTTTTTTTTTGTTTTTTTTTTTGTTTTACCAAAACCAGAACATTCCGAATCACTACCACTTCAATCTAAATATCCCAAAAACAAAATTCACCTGACTCAACCAGAAAGTCCGAGAAAAAGAAAACTTTCTCAGAAAACTCCGCCAAAAAGATTTTCCTCCTTCCCAAACACTCACCAAAACAATCCTCTGTTGTTCTCTACTCCTCGACTCTTAAACAGAACGAACACGAAACACAGAGAAATATTACAGTTTCTAAGCGTATGAGACGCCAAAGAAGAGAAAGAAGAAAGAAAAACAGAAGAAGAAAGCAGGCAAAAAACACAGAGGTTTTCAGAGCATGTCTGTCTTATATATAATACTGGTCCTCGCAAAGTGAAAATTACCACAAACCGAAAACATTTCCTCCATTTCCAATTTCCCCAAAAAGTATTTAATTTTTTTATTTTTTTAATACAGTTTTTTTTTCCTTCTTCTTTCCTGTGTGTCTGTTTCTCGTTGAGTGGGTACGGTCTTTTGGAATTTGGATTAATTTTAATTTACTTTCCATTTACACTAATCACGGACGGTCGTCGTCCGGTTGTATTTTGATCTGACGGTCAGAAAACTCCCGCGCAATGTTGGTCCGCTATCAACGGTCAAATTTGGCAAAGTGAAAAAGAAAAAGAAAATAAAATAAAATATTTTCTCTCTTTTTTTTGCTCTTTTTCTTCGCGCGCTTCTTGTCGTTAACGCGTGGGGCCCTGTCATTGGGCGAAACATCGTCGGTGAGAGAATAGGTGGCGCACTATACAAATCATCTTCCAGAGTTTTTGAAACTTTATTTTTGGGACGATTTTACCCCTGTGATTAGAGTAGAGATTTTGGTTTAGTAGAAGTAGGTGGGTCCCATTTTGGCCTGCGAGGTTGTGATACGTGCTGACTGGTATGTCGTGGGTCAAATGTTACAAGGGCAGTTACGTGGAATGTTGGGCTCTGCTCATTGGGCCATTAGTGGGCTGGGCCCAGAGGTTTAAATGAGTGTTGAGTTTTAACTGAATAGAATATTGGTGGATAAAATTAGTGTTAATTCGCCTTAGTGGATAGTGTTCGTATTTTATTAATCGTGTTAGAAGATATTAATTTAAACACGACATACTTATTAAATATATTAAAAATATCAATTTAAGCATGAATTATTTATTAATTTTATTAATTATATTAACCTGTATAATTTGTTTAAATTAATATATTGAATAAATTAACTTATATAATAATGATTTATTTAACACGATCAAAATAAATTTAACGTCTTTATTGATAATTTATCTTTTCTTTTAAGAAAAATAAATGCATTTTACCTATAAATATAAAAATTCACATTATTTGTATTTAATATGTCATATAAACTTTCATGTTATATCACATTTTATTAGATTACAGATGACAAATATAATCAATCGTGTCAATTCGTGTTAGAAGCTCAACCCTAACCCAACCTATTTATTAATCGTGTTAATTGTGTTAACCCGATTATGACCCAAATCCCATTTATAATAAACTCAAAACTTACTAATTTCGTGCGAATTTCGAATCGTGTTATCATGTCACTACTTGAATTATCAGTCCTAAATAAAATGCCATTGCAATTAAAAAATTCCCAACTAAAATATGGAGTTTTAAAATGGGTATTTATAGGATTAGCAAAAAAAAAAAGAAGGAAATTATAGGTTACCGGATAGCATGATTGGCGTTACGTTTGACTCGGTAATCTCTCAGGTCATTCCCCGTTCATCATGGTAAGCTTGACTTTCTATTATCTCTGTCTCTCTTTTCTTCTAATTTTTCACTAATAAAATTTTCATTAAACAAGCGGAGCTTTCAATAGTAGAGAGTATGATAGCGTATGCTTTTTAAGATTAGATATTGTCAAGACCATATTAATCTTTTCAAAAAAAAAAAAAAAAAAACCATATTAAAATAAAACGGTGAAAGAATACAAATCTAACCGTACCTGTAAGGTTTTTTTTTCCCTTTTTTTATTTAAAAAAACTTCATATCAATTGAAGTGAACTTTATAAGTATATAACTTAGAACAATACCAACGTCGATATATCAAACAATACAATATTTGAACTATAAATTTAAACTAGACATTATATATTATGTGCACCAAACTCATCACCACTATAAATTTAAATTTAAGTGCATATATATATACATATATATTTATTTAATACAAAACAAAATAGATGAAAAAAAAAATCGACTAGAGATATAAATGGCTCTCTGTCTAGTGGATTAGATTGGTAGAGAGATGAGGCGGTATGTCTTGGTTGGCGGTGGCTGGCGAAAGGGGCATTCCTTCTTATGTGGTTCAAGTTCTGTGTAGCATTGCCTCCCCTTGTCTCTTTACTCGTGGTGGCCAGGTTGGCTTTAGTGTCTCTCTCCGTTGTGAGAACTCAATGTACGTTTTTATCTCCTTATGCGTTTCGTTAAAATTTACTGATAAAATCAATCTGTGGTTAGAATTAAGTTTCCGTTGTTACGAGGTTATTCGAGTCAATATTAGTTTATGCATCTTCTTAATTTGAAATATGATTACCTTTTTCAAGAGAGAGAAGAAGAAGAAAGAAGAAGATGAGAAGAACAAAAGAAGAGAGATCTATTGCCAACTATCTCACTTTATATAATACTAGTTTTTATCGCGCGTTGTGCTCGTAATTCATTTAAAATAAAAATTATGCAAATTGTTAAAGAAAAGAGAAAGAAGAAAAAAAAAAGGACATAAAAGAAATGAAGATAAAAAAGAGGAAAAAATATAAAGTAAAAGATCAGGAAAAAGATTTTAATTTATTTAGTCACACTTTAAATTAGTTCTATTTGATTTTCTTAATTTCAATATGCATTTATTTTATTTTAGTGGATTTTTGTTTAATTTTATTTTTTATTAAAATTATTTATAATATTTTAATCTGAAGCGATACGTGGCAATTTAATTACGCGAGTAAATTAGAATCTGCCGTATGGATTCCATTGAAGAAGGTGACCAGTTAGCGGTCGACACGTCACCATTTCAAAGAAATTTAGCACACTAATAAATCCCCTCCTCCATCAGGAGAAAAAAAAAAAAAAAAAAAAAAAAAAAAAGAGCTAACGTAACGTTTCGTTAGCAATTAAAAAAAACAATTCACTCTTAGTAATGTAGTGCAACGAATCGCCCTCCTAAAAACGGATTTCCTCTTAGTAGTATGGTAAAGATTGTGTATTCTAGCCATAGATAACTAACCATAGAATTCTCATTTAAGAAAAAAAGCACATGTATGATAGTTTTTAGTTTCCTACGACATAATTATTTTATAGTTTTAAGAAGTGGTAATAAGAAAAATTTTGTAGTGGAGTAATATACCCTTCTGTAGAATACATTTTTAACTATCACATCAAATTTAGGTATAATATTTAACTGTTAGATTAATTAAAATCATATATAAGATAAAATAAAATAGGATCAATCTTCCTCGGGGCCACCAAACTTTAGGTGCAATATCAGTTTGTCCTAGGGTATAAAATCCACGCATTTTAATTAATTCTTTTTTTTTATACATGCCTATTTGTAGTAGAGAAATGCAATCCACGCATTTTTTTATAAAATCCACTTTTTTATCATTTTTTATATTTACTATTTGATATATAGATTTTATTATTTTATTTTTTGTTTAAATAATAATTTATCATGTTCGTGAAGTCTACATGTTAAATATTGAATATAGAATGTGATAAAAAAAGTGATAGAAAGAGTGATGTTATAACATTTCTTTTTGTCGTGTGTAGTATCGCAATGTACAACCATCGATCTTCAATTCAATTGTTTGTTATCGAAAATTTTCGCTGTCCAAAGTACTAGCTACTTTAGTGCATTAGCTATCTCGCACATGTAAATTAATTTAATTCATACCTACCTTCCTTAAAATCTCACAAACGATATTCTCCCTATTTAAACTACCAAACTACATTTTACGTACAATATTTACCTGTATAGAAGATAATCTTTCACGTTACATTAATTAAAGGTTTCACTGCAGAATGTAATAGATAGATTACATTAAGTTTCAGCCAATGATTAATTTTGCTTCTATTATATGTGTTATGAACCATGAATACAAAATTATAAAAGCTATCTTTACGTAGTTTTTGATATGATAAAGATGATTATTTATTATTGATGCAAACGTATGATTCAGATTCTAAAGTAATTTAATTCATACCTACCTTCCTTAAAATCTCAAAAACGATATTCTCCCTATTTAAACTACCTAGCTACCTTTTACGTAAAATATTTACACGTGTAGAAGATAATCTTTCACGTTACATTAATTAAAGGTTTCACTGCAAATGTAATAGATAGACTACATTAAGTTTCAGCCAATGATTGATTTTGCTTCTATTATATGTGTTGTGAACCATGAATAAGAAATTATAAAAGCGATCTTTACATAGCTTTTGATATGATAAAGATGATTATTTATTATTGATGCAAACGTATGATTCAGATTTTAAATTAGATATTAACTTACAGCATTTTTCAAGAGCAAAAACTTATTTATCATATTTTCCTTTAAGAGTTTCGTGAGAAAGTTTTAGGTACATATATTTTTTTTTCTTTTTTAAAAGTGTACTTTATCCATAAAAAAAAGTCTAGAATACTCTTAAGTCAAGTATTAAGAATTTTTCCTTCAAGGGAATCAAGAAAATACTTTCGGAGGAGGGTTAAAACTTTACAAGAGGGGAAAAAAATATTTTTCAACACTCATTTCAAACAGCACAAAGTCCTTTTTTTTTTAAAAAAATATATATATATATATATATATATATAATAAAACCTCTGAGTAAAATTTGCAATTGTATAATTCTTTTCCCCACTCCCATGAATAAACTCTCCGGCAATCGATATTGAATTCCACCTTATTCCAAGCAAAAATAATAAAATAAAAAGAAAAAAAAGTATACTAAGTCATGCATACAAAATAAATATATGTCTACTAATTAATTATTTTTACAAATGTTATTGCTTCTACATGAGAAGCATGAGATGACTATGAACTTTTCTCCTCGAATATTATAATCACAAACAATAATAATACAAGAAATAACTTTACACTCCAAATATTTGAGAATCCACTTTTTTGTTTCTTCTAAAACCAACTCTTAAATGGCAAGAAACATGTTATCTACGGTTGTTTTTCTCCTTTCGTCACTACAACAACAGAAGAGGTAATATCTCCATAGTGGGATGGAGCAAAAAAGACAAGTCTAGTCCTTAGGCCCATTATTGGCTAGATTAACTCCATTA